TGCCAGGGAGAGGATGGGAAGCTGGATCATGGCTTACAAGGAGGAGGAGATGTTGATGCTCTTGAAGAAGGCATTGGTGTATCTTCTCCTTAAGGGGCTGACCCTGAACTCAGCTCTACTGGACAACTGTTGCCTTGTTTCTAACCTTCATTTTTTAGGGAAAGTTATTGAGAAGGTGGCAATCAACTACCAAGGCTTTGAAAGAAACATATCAGCCCTTTTTTTCCCTGGGCATGGGACAGAAACCATATTCACTGATGACCTATAATGGGGTTTAGATGGAGGGAAAGTAACTCTAATAGTCTTTTTGGCAGCCTTTAATACCATATTATTATTCTGGACCACCTGCTAAAGTTGGGGATACTAATCTTTCAGGGTTCAGCTCCTTCCTGAATGGATGGTTTCAGTTGTGGGTGGAGGGCAAATAAAAGGGTGAGCCTTTAGCGCTCCAGTATAGGGTGCTACAGGGTTCAACTCTTTCCCCAATTCCATTTAACTGGCCACTGAAGGAAGACCGTTTGGGTTCAGTATTATAAATATGCTGATGATAACCAGCTATACATCTCTACCTTAGCCTGTCCAGGAGATGAGAAAGCCTTGCCCTGGTGTCTGGAGGCTATAAGGATCTGGATGGGGAGAAACAGATTGAGATTTAACTCAGCAAGATGGAGTGGCTGTGGATTCAGAAGCCAAGAGATTCTAGAGGTGCTTGTAGACTCTAAGCTTCTGCTGGAACAGCAGGTGGAAGCTACGGTCAGGAGGGTCCTTGCACAGATTTGACTGGTGCTCCAGCTGCAACCATTCTGGTGCACTAAACACTGGCCACAGTCATTTATCACCTCAGTGCCTCACAGATAGACTGTGCTCTCCAGGTTACTACCTTTGAAGACCATTTGGAAACTGTAACTAGTGCAAAAAACTGTAACTATTGCAAAACATACAGCAGCCTACACATTGACCAACTCTATCTAGAATTACCATGTAACACCAACTGTTGAGGAAACTACATTAGTTACCAGATTGTTTGGGCCCAGGTGCAATTCAAGGAGCTAATTATCACCTTTACAATCCCTACATGGCTTGAGGGCTAGTTACCTGTAAGACTGCGTACTCCTAATACAGTCTGCCCATCCAAGGCAAAAAGCGTTTGCTAAGAGACCTCACCTTTCAAAAACTGCAATAAGAGAGTACTTGGAGGCAAACACTTTTAGTGGGAGCTCCCTTCCTGTGGAATGCCCTCCCACCAGATAAAAGAACTACAACATATTTAATATTAAAGAAACATCTAAAATGTGGCTTTTCCAAAGTGCGCTCAGGGACTGAGGTGTTAATTCTTTAGAAGTATCTGAATGTGTGATGAGGCTTTTTTCCCTGATGATTTACAGTGCTATGCATTATGATTGTTGGATTGCATTAATATATTTTGATGATTTTTATTATTGTATTATTGTTGTGTTGTATTTTGCTGTATTGTGTAGAAACTTAATGACTGAAGCAGCATTAAAACATTTGTAATAAATAGGTAAGTAACCTAAATCATGGCTCAACAGAAAACCCTGGTTTAGGACTACTGATTACTCACATTCTCCATCCTCATAGCAATCAATTTAACATTTTCACTTCACTTTCCATAAAGTTACATACTCTGATGTTGCAGTAATGTGACTGAGATGCTTCCATTCAGGCATCATGTTGAACAATAATTAGTACTAATTATGATTTAACTCACTTCAACTATTGTCACTAATGCTGTTTGCTAGTCAAGACCAATCTACTGATTCAGACATTAAAAAAACTATAGCTGAGTTCAACTGCTTACTATCCTATCTGAATGAAACCTGTGATTTCATAACTCAGCTTCAACAATCAGGTTTTTAAATGATCAGGCAAGGAAAAAAAACAAGTATCTTTAGCACAGATTATTAAAATCCATAACAACATTTTTCCCAATGGACACTTACTGTTAAAAAAATGACATCAACATGCTGAGGATGGAATGTTACTAGTCAATGGACATTGCATCCATTTGAAGAAAAAGAAGTCAAGATCAAGACATAAAAAGAAGCATGGATGCCTATTTCTCTCCAAAGGGTATGCTCATAAAACGTGAGGAGAAAATTTGTTTTCTGGTCACAAAGATTCTTCACTTTAGTATACCACTCTCTGTAAAACCCTACTACTAAGGATAGTAGTATCCATATGACTGACCCCTCACAGCTTCTGCTCAACAGTTATTCTGAATTTAAGTGGCTGAAATTATTCAAATCTAGTCAGTTATTATTTTTAAATAAAATGGTCAGCTTTATTACAATTTACAGTGCATGACCAGCCTTGCAGAAATCCATTTTCTTCCATTGTTATTTACAACATGAATTAGTTTAAGATCACTTGAATACACTTTTACTAAGGGACTTATACTTAATGTATAAATCAGATACTAGATCAATAGAGAGTAATACAAAGGGAAAACACTACTACCAATGAAAGAGATAATTTGGAAAACAGTTTGCACATAAACCAAGATTTTCAACTGCTAAAGGCTTTGTCAAAAATGCTACATAAAATATCATGAAAAAATTGTTAATGGTAATAATATTCATTCACTTTCCATCTTACAATTTTCTTTCCTTCTTTCCTTTCTAATTAGTGCTTTCTTCTATAATGCATAAATGATCAAGCTAACCAGGATTTCTGAAAAGGTTAACATCACAATGCAATACTGCTAATCATATTCTGCTACATAACAATGTCACAAACGAAGCCAACTGAGAGAAGGGAACAAAGAACAGGTATACAGGAAAAAGCAATATAAATTTTTCTTTTAAAAATATTGGGGAAAGCATATTTGAAAATATTTGTAGGCACTACTGAAAAATACCTGAAAGAGGAGGAAAACTTTCCACACTGCAAATAAAATACTGCAAATAGTTTCAACGTTATTTACTCATTTATTTTGGATCAATATGAGGACTATGTAGAATCCTTGGGGTATTGCTTTCTCTCTAGCTATAAAAATAACTCTCCAGTAAGACTGCATTAATACATGGTAAAGGTGCATGAGTTACTGCCATTACTCACTCAATGTGTAAGCCCTTTGAAAAGAATAGAGAAAATACACATTGTTGTAAACCATGCATTAAACATTATATTAAGCACTATTAAAGTATCAACAAATTTATTATCACAAAAATAGCTATGTACAGTATATATTTAAAAGAGAACTGGGTAAATTTAAATTTTCATCAAGCAACTTATTTATATTCATATTAAATACAGGGATTGGAATGGAATATTTTTAATGTGAATGGGTAAACTCAGTGACACCCATTCTTATAAAAATGTAGCTTGGGCAAGTAATGTCATAAAGTCACGAAATGTAAAGACTTCAATTGTGATTTAATCTAATTCAAATTAATATGCAGATTCATATTCCACTGATTTAAGCAAAATTCTTCTGATCCTGATTTAAGCAAACATAGTCTTGAAAAGAAAAAAAAGATGACTAATTTATTACACAATTGACTCCTAGCTATTCTACTCGCCTAGTTATGGAATATAAGAAAAACATGCTCTATTGACGAATAAATTTGTTTCTTCTGCACTATCACTATATTCTAGCCCCATTATCTGAGCTCTCACTGGAAACAGCATTGTAGGTACCTTGATGATTAGATGTACTATGGCTCAGCAGGTGGCAGCACCTGGCTGAGAAAGTTAAACAGGATCAGGCCTGGTTAACTCTTGACTAGGAGACCACCAGAGAATTCCAGGGCTGTATGCTAGACCGAGATGCTGAAAAAACATCCCAGAAAAATGCAGTGGCAAACTACTTCCTATACTGTTGCCAAGAAAACAGCAGGGATGCATCCATGTACTCGCCAGGAGGTGAGCTTGATTTGAGAGTTTATCTATCTTTTAAGGTAAGGTATGTAAACTTCATTTAAATTTTATTACAACTAGGTTCCATTTTTGAAAGAGAAAAAGCTTATATTCCCTTGGGAATTCTTCACAACATTCCCGCAGTTTTTACACATTCAATAATTGGGTCTTCAGTCTACTCTGATTCTAGAGCCACATATAAGAAATCAAAAAATCACTGAAACATTCAGAAACTCTATCCTTTCATTTAAAAATATGTTTAATTTTATTTTATATCCTCCTGCTTAATTTAATGGGTTTTTCAAATCAATTTGCTTCATCAGAACTCCAAAGAGACATTCATTTTAGCACAACATTCATTACTCTAACCACAAACATAGTATGTAGTTTATCTTCATTGTTTCACTTTTTCAATACCATGACATAATTCCTACTTCCAACAATGGAGCAACTTTTTATCTCTACTGCATTTTCCCACAAAAATTACTATCTATCACAAGCATGCATGTGTCACACATGCAAAGTTTAAAACAGGATTCTTTGGGGAGAATTGTTATACTAGATTTGTTTTAAGATGCTGACAGCAATTGCTAGAGCCAGACTGCCGAAACATCTAAAGCTTGGCCTTTAATAATCACCAAAGTAATATAGCACCAGACTACGTCTGAGCAGGGACTCCCAATAGTGTCAGATTGTGTCAAACTGCAGGATTGTTATGGGATACGAGTAAATGTCCACACTTGTTTTACCCAATCAAATCTGAATTAGGCTCTAGATGTAAGTCTCCTGTGTATTAACCCATTGCCCTCCCTGTTATTACCACCACTACAGATCTTCACACTTGAAGGTTAATTTTAATTCAGCAATTTAAGTTGTTGTTTCCGATCTTTCTATGTATTGTTCCACTCTCCCTTCTGATGATCCTTGTTTGAACTTTTACTCATGAGAAGAGGAAATGTACACAACATGCAGACATAAAATGTACATGAATATAGAAATGGCACTGGTATTTGATTACAGCGTAATATGAGTGTTGAATTCTGTATATACTTTACTAATGAAACAAACACGTTTCTAGGGCAAGCCCTCACAATAAATAAGAAACAGTAATACAGTCCAACCTGCTTTAGCCATGCTTGGTATCCAGAAGATGTAAGTTGGAATCCATCTTTAGGCATGTGAATTCTTGGCTAGGAAAGAATAGACATAAGAGACCTCCTTTTATATTGGGACCTGGCTAAACTAACTTTTGTTCCAGATGATAATAAACAAACACATATATTCCAATTTAATTTTCAAGTAAGGTACAAGTAAGTGCAAAATACGCTACAGTAATAGAACTATAGTTGCAGGAAAAAAACCCTTAAAATTCTGCAGAGGCAGCCATCCCAAATGGATTTATCAGTACAGTAGAGCTCTGGTACTAAAACCTTAAAAAGATTATATTAAGGGACATATGAATATGTTCCACCTCAACATACTCTGCATCTAATCTGATCTGGAGCGAACATTCTGATCCAGGTTATGTCCCCAGTGAAAAAGCTTCATGCTTTTTGCAGCCCTTTAAGACATTTTCAGCACAAATGTAACTTGGCACAGGTTCTGAAAACTGATGATTACATTGCCCCAAAATACTAAAACACAGTACTTGCAAAGCTTCAGCAATGCATTAGTGATGTTTGGATGTCTGACATACTTTAAACAGGCCAGATAATAGAAGAAGGCAATCCATGACCATCAAGTACCTCTATAGCTAATACAGAGACATCTGGGATGGGGGGGGGAAGAGAGAGAGGAGGAATTAAATGCATTGTGGCATAATGACTCAATGTCTTCTGTATTTGCATCTGATGAAAGGGTGGGCTGTGATAAATTGTGACACCACAATGAATGTTTCATCATTTTTTTCTCATTGCAATTGGTAACTGATGTTTGAGTGAATCTGTAGTACAGTGGTACCTCGGGTTACGAACGCCTCTGTTAACAAACTTTTCGGGTTACGACCAGCTCCGGCTGCAAAAATTTATCTCGGTTTGCGAACTCCGCCTTGAGTTACGAACCGGATCCGCAGCTATTTTCCCTCCTGTGACACGGTCTGTGGCCATTTTTCCGCCCCTGACACGTGGTCCGCGGCCATTTTTCCGCCCGACACGTGGTCCGCGGCCATTTTTCCGCCCGA